CAACCCCAATACTGTATTTGGCGTATGAATAACCAAAATGCACGCGCTGACAGGAGAGCGGGACGGGCCCGCGGCTCCCCGGGAGAAAATGTAGCTGTGATGAGTGACAGGGCTTTCAGGAAATATGTTCACAATCACAGACAGTGAAGGCCATGACCTAGATCGTTTAAGAGCTTGTCTTGTCAAATTATCAAAAGCTTCTTCGTCTCTGAATAAAGAGTGACATAAGTGAGTGTCAGAAAGCTGCAGGCTGACAAGCCAAGCATACAATAACAGCATGCACGTCACATACTCGCCGAACACCGCCACGGCTAGCGGCAAATCTTAATGAGAGCGCGGCTGGCCCAGGAGACTTGGGTCCCTGCTGGCACAGCTACTCATCTCGCAAAAATCCTTCAGCTCCGAGTCAGTTATGGTCTGACACGACGACTACAATTACTAAACACAACTTTTTAACAGAATCCTCTGGTGCTTTGTCAAAAGCGGCGGCGGCGGCGGCGGCGGCTGCTCGGAGCTGCCCCGCTGCAAGCCACCACAATAAAACAAAAGGTTTGCCAAAACGCACACTTTTTCATCACCTCGGCATGGGAACTGAGCGGAAAAAGCACAATGCTTCCCTTCAGAGCCGCTCCTGCGCCGGCAGATGTCCAGGGCTCTGGCCACGCCGCGGCACGGACAGTGATTGCTGACCRCTGCGGTCAGTCCTGGGCTGGACATCGATGGTCAGCGGCGTTGGCGTGGACAAAGGGCAGATCCTGCGCTCTGTGCCCAGGGAAATGGGWGATTTTGGCCATGTGGACACAGCTGCCCCCGTGGGATGATGGCAGTGGCTCCATCGCTGCCAAAAACAACAGCAGCAGCAGCACCAGGATTTTCCCCAGGGAGCAGAGGGCAGTGGTGGTTTGCACACCCAGAAAAGTTGTGAGAAAATGTGCAAAGATGCCAGCCAAGGCACCCAGCTGGCTCTGGGAAGGGGTTTGGGGATTGGAGGGGCTGCAGCACCGAGCACTGAGCCTGTCCAGATCACCGAGCCCTCCGTGCTGCTTTTCCAGGTGTACACAGAGACACTGCCCCTGTGCCTGCTCCCATCACATCCCGGGCTCATGGAGTGATTTTCCAGCCCTGCTGCTGCCAGGTGAGCCTGCACACCCATCACAGGACTCCTGAAATCCATAGAATTGCCCCTGAACCCACCAGGAATGGCTGCTCTGAGCACCCTCCCAAAGAAAAAACCACACAGGGCTCCACTGCTTCCAACACACCTCCAGCAAAAGGGACTGTGGTAATTAAAAACTATCCARAACTAASGTGTAAATCTAGCAGATCATGAATRCATGACCCTMAAAAARAGTTTAAAGTAATTTTCAATGTTTTCTAACCAAACTACCTGAATTGCCTCACAACCACTTCTGTGGAAATTCACTCTTGCCAGCCTGTACAAGAACCTGTTCTGCACTGTGTTAGAGTAAAACGGGGTGAACTTGCTGGGAAACACCAATTACAGCTTCCTGTGAGCATCCAGAGCATTTGATAATGTATTTTTGATAACAAGATGGGGATTTCCCTTTCTCACAAGGAGCCACAGGGGAAAGASAAGGGGTGACAGCTGTGAGTTACTCCTGGGGACATTTCAGTTGGATATAGGAGAAAACTTTCCTTCACCTCCTGAGGGAAGTGGTGGATTCCCCAGCATTGGATWATCTTAGAATTTAGAGAAGTGTAGGATTTTTCTGGGCTGTCTTATGTAGACCATGCCTTTGCCAAGACATGTTGGACCAGATAATCCACRAAGTGGATTGTAGGATTTTGACATCCTGACATTGTAGGATTCTGTGATTTCTCTCCCAGGAGCTGCTCCCATGTCCTCTGGAACAGGGCASATCAGCATCCCCACTTCTGCTGCACAGAATCATCTCCTGCATTTCCCAACCTGGCTTCCATTGCCTTTGTCAGGTGTTTCATAAAGAAATGATGAACAACTGAGCCCTGACATTGTCCCACATCACAGAGGATCCTGAAGGTCTTTACAGACCCTTCCCTCTGTCATTTCCCTTCCAGGCTGAGGAGCAGTGGCCTTGCTGAGGGATACAAAAAACAGGGACCAAAGTTGTGCCCAGGTGTTACTGTTTTTCTGATTAATTCCTAATATTTCACCTTTTTTTTTTTTTTTTTTTAACAACTTGTGAAGACAAAACTGATTCACTGATTCTTTGTGGAACCCTATAATCTCCTAACTAAAATCTGAGTCTTGAACAGCAATACTCAGAAACCTGTTACCCCATATGCCAAGATGTGATTATTTTATTTACATTTATCGCCGTTCAATTCCAATTGGCATTTTATTGTGTTCTCCCCCTGACTCTTACAGTCCTTGGGCAGCTCTGCTCACAGCACCGACTCTCTAAGTAATTCAGTCCTCTCAACAAATCTTGTCACCCCATTGTTCACCCTTTTCCATGCCACACTAGCATATCCCACCTTTATCCTCTTACTCCATGCCTGTTTAGTTTCCTTAAAAGCTTTTGCTCAGGAACTTTGTAAAAACGCCTCTCGGAATTTGTAGCCTGTGTCAGCTGGATCGTGTTTACACACATGCTTGTCAACCTGCTCTTTTGAACAACTCCAGAGATCCCTGAGAGGTGGGATTTCCTTTACAAAAGCAGCCTTGAATCACCCTGTGTTATGTTATATTTATATTTATGTTATATTTATGTTATATTTTTACACCCATCCCACCACTCTGGTTTGTGCCCACGGGCTCCCCCGGGACTCCCCCTACTCACAGTTCTGCCTTTAGAAACTCAGTCACCACTCACCCAAATCACATTTTGGGCCATTTCACCTTCTCTCTGCAGTTTTTGGGCAATTGTTGCCCAGTTTTGGTAACAGCACTCACAGATTCATCATAAACCTCATATTCTCTTCAATTTGATAAAATCTCTGGTGCTCTCATCCACAAGGCAAAGCTTCCAAGTGGTTTCTTCTGTTATGAAAACCCCAAAATACCTTTAGGGAAAATCCTAAAATGCCTTTAGCAGCAATCTTTTCCTGTCCAGGTGCTCCCTTTGTGTCCTGATCACCTGTTGGCTTCCTGCTCTGATGTCAGGAAAGATTCTCTGTTGGATTTTGTTCCTCTGCCTTTGCTTTGCCATCCCTGGCTCTGACACAATGACACAGACAGGAGAGTCAGAACTGCCCAAAATTCCAAAGAAAAAACATTTCCCATTTAAGGTGGACCTAAATGAGCACAAAAATGACATGCTGCATGTTCCTGAAAACCTGCACAACTCAGGGAGGATTTGAATGCCTGGATGATAAAGCACTCGTGATTCYTCACAGAAAAAAAACATCATTTAGAAGAACTCATGCCATAAAATGTGTAGAAGAGAAAAAATGGCAAAGAAAAGATGCTTCATTATAGATTAAAATTGTTCTCAYTGCCTTTTGGAAAGGGGGTGCAGAAATACATAATTCACATTCTTTAAAAGTATTGTGGGCACATTAACTATAAGCAAAAGCAAATTTACAGCATGTTCAAATATAATAAAAAACAGCAGCTCCCAAATAGGTGGACTGTCCTCACACATCCCATGAACCACTGTCTGTGCTGAGCCTGTGATGCTCTCTGACCAAACAAGAAAAAAAGGCAGGAAGGAGATATTTACAAAGAGAATATAATATTTCTGAATAAAAAAAAAAAAAAAAAAAAAAAAAAAAAAAAAAAAAAAAAAAAAAAAAAAAAAAAAAAAAAAAAAAAAAAAAATCAAAAAAATTTCAAAACAAGACAATTTCAAACAAGAAAAAAAGACAGGAAGGAGACATTTAGAAAGAGAATATAGTATTTCTGAATTTCAAAAAAAATTTCAAAAAAATTTCAAACAAGAAAAAAAGACAGGAAGGAGACATTTAGAAAGAGACTATAATATTTCTGAATTTCAAAAAAATTTCAAAATACAGGTGTATTTGAAAGGAAAACATATAGGCCATATCTATAGACAGAAAATGAGGTGTGAATGTTTKCTGAATTTATCACAGCTTGCCTTTTATCCTCACATTTTTGAGTTTAATTCAAGAGAATAAAGTATCATAAAAGGTTGACTGCTACATATAGGACTGAATTTTGGGGASACATAAAAATGTCATACAAGGTGAAAGCAAGAGACAAATAAGTTTACTCYCCCTTTAATTTTCTTCTGTGTTTTACTTTAGTAGATCATATCAAAGCCAAAGCCTTCAAACTCATTCTCTGCAATAGCATTTTGACTGATTAATGTCTGATCAGAGTGAAAACACCACAGATCTGGAACTCTTGATGCATCACAGTTAYTCTTTATTTCTTCCTGGTACCTGGAGAGAAAGAATCTCCTGATTCCAACCTCCCTACACCTTTCATTCCACAGAAACAAGGAYGGTTTTGTCCACCACAACTGAACCAAAATAAAGACCAGTTGTTGATAATGGTCTGGTTTGTTTTCTTTAAATCATTCTATATAAAAAACTCAATACAGTGTAATGACTAAACACTATATAATCATTTCCATATGATTATATAAATAGGCATTATGGAAAATCAAAGAAATATTAAGAGCTTGCAATCATTGGAGAGATTGCAGCCATTCCAAATTCAATTTTTGACAGACACAAACCAAACAAAGCCAGATTTGTGTGCCAGGGCCATACTCACATCAGCATAGTGGCCCTTCATGTCGCAGCGGTTGCAGTGTTTGTTCCAGTAGGCTTTTTCCAGGCAATCCCTGAAATAATGCCCGGGCAAACAGCAGTTCAGGCAGAAACGAGCAGGGCAGCTGTGCTGGAGATGGTCCCTTCCTGCACACAGACAGCACGGGGGAACTTTCTATGGAGGAAAAAAAAATAAATAGAAACATGTTAAATGAGAATGTTTCAACAGATATTGGAAAAAAAAAATAATCAAAAGAGGAAAGGAAGAAGAAACCACCTCAATTAAGTGCCTCCTGATTACCAGGAGATGTATTTCATCGAAGAATTGAAGTGGAGAAAGAGTATAAATGGGGTAAAACTCAAAGCTGTGACTCCACAGAGTACTGGTGCCTTTTTGATTTGAATTTGAACCTTGCCTGGGCAGTGCTTGCTGAAAGCCCAGTGCCTCTGTCTGTGCTCAGCTAACACAATAATAATCAGTTAAAACAATAATAATCGTGATCTTGGGGACATAGCTTGGCAAGGGAGCCATGGGGCTGCATGATCTTAGAGAGTTTTGCACTCCTGGGGATTTTTCTTCACTCACTTCACCTCAACCCATGAGATTTTTTTTGCTGTTGCCCTTCCAGCTCTCCCACCCCACACAGGGGTAAGAAGGGGCAGCTGTGTGGGTTTTTGGCTGCCACCTAAACTCACCCAGCACAGCCAAATGTGACAAATACCACACAGAAAACTATCCTGAGGTCAAATGGGGTCTGTGTAAGGGAATTTTCCCCCTCACTGAGGGCATTGCCACTGAGGGCTGTGTGGGATGGGATGGGATGGGATCAATGGGATGGGATGGGAT